TGTTGACAATCACCAGAGCACAATGGAAGTGGACTGAGGCTCTTTGTTTTAAATTAGAATCTTTTCCTGACACTTAAGTGGCAACAGGAAATTGGCTGTTCAGTTTCAGGTATTCAGTTTTTGTTACCATGAGATTATTCTGTGGCTGTCAATGGGTGTGTGAGTCCTGGAGAGCTCAGAGAAATTCCACAGCAGCTTGAGGCCAGGCTGCCAAGGAAGTGTTCCAGGCTATTCCCACTCTTCCCTCTCTCTGCTCAGGAGCTTTGTTTTCTCTCCGAAAGCTCAAACAGGCTCTTTTAAGAAGCTCCTTGTGGCTGTGGCAGGGCTGTTTGTCACACCGTGCAGCCGCGGCTGAGCCACAAAGGAGAGCAGCTGTGGGCAGAGGGGTTCAAAGGACACGGGAGGTGCCGCAGGCAGGGAGATTGACCACAAGCACAGCGCCCTCTCACTGCCCCTCCTCCCTTCCCTCGCTGCGGTTTGGGGATCTCTTTACAACTGTACCGTTTTTTTCACTTTTTTTCTTACTGTAGTCCTGGTAAATGAATGTTTCTGAAGTCCCAAAATGTGTCATTGAAATATGTAATCCCTTTATTTTCGGTAATTTCTGCCCTGTTTCGCTCCAATCAGTTTCTATCACTTGTTGCTTCTCCTAGCCTGTTCCCAGCCCTATTCCCACCCCAGTGCGCCGGGCTCTTCCCAGGTTGGTCATAACAAGCATGAAAAGCATCTCCTTTATTATATGATACACAAGAACCTCTACTTCAAAACCACAATTACATCTTCAAAATTAGTTTGAGTCACACCCCAAGAATCTCCAGCTCGTTCTCCAGCTCCTGGAAATGTGACCATGGCAGTAACAGTGCTGACACTCTGTGCTGTCCTCAGACTAAAATATACTCTCTAATGATATCAATTCTATAATTGTGGTATTCAGATTTAAATAGTTCTTTTTAAAACATAAAATTATCCCCTTTTTCCTGGCAGTTGCCAGGCTGCTGCTCTTGCAGCACAGTAATTACCTCTTTCAAGCCTACAGCAAGTGGCTTAATTTATTTCAATTGGCTGCTCAGTCTGAGATCTGCCACTGACACCAGGAAGATGTTTCAATTTATTTAAATTTATTTAATTTATTAAAACCAGAGGGTGGCAGCATGACTTAAAATCTCTCTCTCTATAATGTTCTGTTAAAAATGTTGTTCAGCCATAAAATTCATCCCACGTTTATGTCGTGACAGTTATTATTCCTGGAGTTCACCTCAAAAAAAAAAAAAAGTTAAAAGCCCAAGTATTGGTTCACATTTTGAATTTCCTTACCAGTGTCTTCCTCAGTGTAACTCTTGAAACAAACTTTCATTGGAGTTACTGACAAGGTTATTTCTTCCTGACTGGTTGGGAAGTGAATCATCACATCAGCCAGCAGCCTATAAAATGTCATTCAATACTAAAATAATTCCATCTCTGACTATTTAGCATTCATTACTTTAGAAAGTAAAACTCAAAAAAATATTTCTGTGTTTTGTTACCTGGAGTGGACTTTAAGAATGTTTGGGCACATGTGCTTTGCAAAAACAGCCTGCAAAGGATCACACTCTTGAAATGTCAGGTTATAGGTTTTTACAACACCTGAGTATAAAGGAATAAATGAACAAAAATCAGTGCTTGGCTGTAATTTTAAGTTGGTTTTTTTTTAAGTATTAATTTTTCAATAGAGGAAGTAAGTGATTTAGTCCAGCTATATGGAAATAACCCACCACAAACAGGAAATGGAACCCACCTGCCATCTTAGATTCCCTCCATCCTATTATTGTGCCTGGACAGCATCTGAGTTTTTAAGGATCCACAAGAAATAAATGAACAGCAACAAGTGCAACAAATGCAGGGTGGGAAACTGCCTCAGTAATTAACTGGTAAAATAATATAAATGGGAGTGGAATGCAGAACACAAACCCTACAGATCTCTGCCTTTCTGGGTAAGGATGTACTAAGGTCTGCAGACCTAATTCAATGTATTATCCTCAGATCAGTAACCCCAGCTGGATTATTGATAATATAAACCACTGCCTCCAGCACAGCACAGCTCTGTGGGGGGAGATGATGTTTATTTAGGAATTTTGCAAAGACTGATGCTGATGAACATTCCCAGTCCTACTGGGCTGAGGATGACAGACCTGCTCCTGTGTTGGTAACAGCATTAAACGTTGTGCTTTTAAACTCCCCTGTGACCTTACCGTGCCTGCAGAGGAGCTGAAAGGTGATGTGGTGGTCACTGGGGCTGGTGGAGATGCTGCACTTCTCTACATTCCTTTCCAGCACATTTACACATCTAAACACAGGGAGAACTGACTGCAAAAAAAAATAAATCGGTGTAGAGGTTACCCTCAGAGCAGCTTTACAATAAATATAATTTCCCTGGGTTTGTACCCTGGTTTATCTCAAGCTGCTGCTCTTAAGGCTTCCCCAAACTGCTCTGTGGTTGATCCTCACCCACAATAATTTCAGCTGGAAATTGGGTCAATTTGCTGCTGTGTGTAACAACTCACTAAAATGTACCTTAATTATCAATTTACAGGGGAGGGATAACTGCTTCTCGTTCTGACACGGTTGGGACACGGCTGTCCAGCAGTAATGTTGGAAAAACATGGATGAGAAGAACACACATGCATACGCTGACCTCGAGGAATTCACTGATCTTAAGGCAAGCTGGAAATGGAATCACAGAGTCAGTAGGGTTGGAAAAGACCTCCAACATCACTGAATCCAACCACAGAGGGAACAGAAGTAAAATAATTTATTGAATCAAAACTGTCTCATATTGAATGTTTTAAAAAAAGCTTCCCATGGACTTCAGTGCCACCAGCAAACCTGGAAATTTACATCTCAAAATGATTAAAAATCTATAAAAATACGTACTTTTAAATTGATTTTACAATTATTTATAAAAATAATTGAGTTACACAAACACCCAGAGCTTGTGTTTGAGGCATTTAAGGGACACGATCCATACAGATGAGCAAAGCCACCACTCACACCTCAAAAATTCTTCAGATGTAAAACCAAATATCTCCACTTGTGATTTTCCATTGTCCCAGTGAATCAAGGAGAGCTGATCAGCTGATGAGCTTAGTTTTAACTAAGAAACCTCTGGAGAAAACACTAATTCTGCTGGAAATAGTGTTTGATTAATCAGAAGCATTAATGGATGTGTTCTTCCTGTTGAGTCACAACGGTACAAAACATGTTGTTTTTAGAGGCAGCTCCTGTGTGGTACAAAACTCAACCCTTGTGACCCCTGACAACAGAAATGAACCCCGTGGCATTAATCCAGATGTCCTAGACAACAAAAAAAATCAAAGGATCTTAGGGCAGAGTAGGAATAAAATCTTCCACGATGGAATCTGCATAATTACAATCACAGAAAATATGGCATTTGTCCATACTGAAAGTGGAGGGTGCTGTGAATGTAATGGACTGAAAGGTATCTGTAGGAAAACACAACATCCAATAGTATAAATACTGGGCTTATAATAAAGATTTTAAAATTAGAATAAATAAAATTCACTTACACCTTTTTCTATGGGGTCAAACCAGAATTCATCACTAATCCGTGCTATGGCATGTATTGCTCTTCCAAACACTGCCCAGGAAAGAAAACACTGCAATACGCATTTTAAATTAAAATAAAAAGGTGACACTGCAGTTTCTCCAGAGTAATTCAAGAGGATACATTACAACCTTATACATTGGAAAGAAAACTGATGGTGGGAATGTTACTTTTGCTTTTTAATTAATATTTTCATTATCTAAACCCTCAATGTTTTGGAAAGCCACCTCTCGAGGCACCTCGAGCATCGCCTGTCCCTTTGCAGCGCCTGGTGTTACCACATATTAAGCCACTACGACAAAACTCCACCTCCGGGGTTAGAAACGACATTTAAGAGACAGAAAATCTGAGAAGCAACGGGACATCTGGAGAGACGGAATCCTAAAAAACACAGCGGAACCCAGCAGAGGGCCTGGGGATTTGCCTCCGGCAGAGGCAGAGCAGCTTTTCCCACAGAATGCTGAGCCAGGAACCGCGCTGTGCCTCTGGAGGAGCACAGGGGGACACAGTCAGGCCATGGCATCTCCACCCGGCACAATGCCCGGCCCCGCTGCGATGAGGGAGAGGCGGACTCCCTGCTCCGCTCCCGGGGCTCTTGTCCCGCTCAGATCCGTCCCTGAGGTGCCGGGGGTGCCGCGTTCCCGGTGTCCCGCATCCATCCCCGCCTGTGCCGGGCTCCCCGGGGCCCCGGTACCTCGGAGCTGCGCCCCCCCGATCACGCACTTCATGGCCGTCCCCCGCTCCCCTCACGGCCGCGGAGGGCGGGAAACGCCTCGGGGCGGGGCCTGCGCCGTGAGGAGCCCCGGATGTGGAGCCCTGGGATTGCGGAATTCTGCAATTCTGCAATTGGGAATTGTCCCGATTTACGCGCAGGAATCGTCGATCCAACATCTGGCCCTGCACAGACACCCCAGCAATCCCACCTTGTGCATCCCTGGGAGCGGTGTCCCAACATTCCTGGAGCTCTGGCAGCCTTGACCATTCCCTGGGGAGCCTGGGCAGTGCCAGCACCCTCCGGGGAAAAACCTTTCCCTGAAATCCAATTTAAACCAGCTCCAGCCGTTCCCTGTCACACAGAGCACAGATCGGAGCTGCCCCTGCCCTGCTCTGGGCAGCACCAGCTCAGCGACAGCCCCAGGAAACGCCCCCGACCCAAAAGAAGGCTGAGCATGGCACTAATTAGCACGGGAAGCAAGAGAATAATTTCCAATATAATACTAATTAACAAAAGAACTATGTAACTTGTAGTCAATGTAGTCAATGAACAGCAATTCCTTTGTTTCCTAAAATGCCCAGGCTTGCGCAGCTCTGAAATAAGTAATCAGCGTCTCTGTCTCTCTCAAGTGTCATTATCGGCTCGTTTTTGGGGACAAATCTCATTTCAGGTGTGTAAAAACCCAGGCAATGGAACTCGGCGCGGGCGCGTTCGGCGCTGTGTTGTCCCTTTGCAGGCACCGTAGCGGGGGCGGTGCCGGGCGGGTTCCGGGAGGGCCGGAGCGGAGCGGGCGCGATGGTGAGAGCGGGGGGACCGCGGGAGCTCCTCGGGACCCTC